ATCACCTTCTTTCTCTCTCTCGCCCTCTCTCTCTCGTCCTCTCGTCCTCTCCCTCTAGATGTTGGTTCATACGTATGTAGGTATACATGAGACCAAAGAAAAACCTGAATCCTATTGTTTTAGGGCTATGGGGCTACAGGGCTAGGGCCATAGGGCTATAGGTCTGAAGGTCTGTAGGGCTATAGGGCTAGAGGGCCATAGGGCTATAGGGCTGTAGGGCTATAGGGCTTTGGGACTCTGGGGCTATGGGGCTCTGGGGCTATAAGGCCATAGGGCTATAGGTCTATTGGGCTATGGGGCTATAGGGCTATAGGACGATAGGGCTATAGGCATATAGAGCTTGGGCTATGGGGCTATAAGGCTATATAGGGCTATACGGCTACAATGCTATAGGGCTATAGGGCTATAAGGCGATTGGGCTATCGGGCTATAGGGCTATAGGGCTATAAGGCTATGGGGGTATAGGGCTATAGGCCTATCGAGCTACAGGGCTATAAGGCGATTGGGCTATAGTGCTACAAGGCACCCGGCACCCGGGCACCTGGGCACCCGGGCGGGCCGCGGAAATCGGCGGCACACCTCACCTAACCATATGAATCCGCTAGAACCCCTACAGAGGCAAGCTCTGATTGGGGAACATGAAAATACACATCTATGCACATATGCACGATGTGTATCTAACTATGTAGTTAGACTCGGCGAGGTCGCCTGCGCGCGACCGAAGGCGGTCTCCTCGACGCGGTTATGTGCCCTGTCGCGCAATTCCCAACGTTGTGCTAAATTTCGCGTTAACTGTTTCGATCCACGGTGTAACACTTATTCTTGACAATTCTACCTATACTCCCACACTGCAACCTGGCGGGTCGAAAATAATCCTGCCTGGAAGGATGCCCTCCTACGCATCACGAAGCGATACACTGTTGGCGGCTTTCGTTTCAGCATGAGTACTTCGTCGTCGACCTTGTTAGACGCGTGGTGGAATTGGGACGCAGCGCACATCGCGAGCGAAAGTAAAAATGTCACTCTCGCGTCAGCGCCGCGCCTACCCGTGCTTTGGAGCGGTGCGCATTTCTCGCTCGCCAATTGGTCGGACGCGGAATCGCGCGAGCGGGCGAAACGTCGCTCCCGCCGCAGCGCCGCGCAGAGTCCGCTTGCAAGTGGAGCTCTAGCCTGGGCGAGTCGCATGCTTCTCGTTCGCTCAGTCGTCGAATGCAGAGCTGCGCCTGGGAGAGGAAGCAGCACGTAGCGCTCGTGTTCGCAGGTGATGCTTGGAGGCGGCACCAACACCAACACAGGGGGTTGCCTCCAAAGGGGGAAGATGATCCTAGATTTCGGTTTTGGTGGTAATGCTTCGGTCACCTTGGAGGCCAGGATATGACCGCTATCACCGAGATCGGGATCTCCTTCCCTCGGTGAAGGCACACCGCCGATCCTGATGCCTGGTGTCCACCTCTGGGCCTGCGATGACGCCCGGAAGCGCCATTCCCGCTTCGGAGCGGCCCACGTTCTGCCCTCGCCAGTGCCGTCGGAAACTTCTGCCTGCGCGCAGGAGCGCTCCATGGCGATGCTGCCCCGGCACCTCGCACGGATTTTCTTCTCGGAAAAAAGCGCTGTGCCTCCGCCGGTGCGCGGCCCGTGGCTGGCTTCCCTCGCCATGCCGTCGCAAGCGAAGCCGCGCGAGCGCGCACGTTATCGAGGGCGCGCAGACATGGATTAGCGATCCATGGATTTGGCGCGCGGTCGCCAAATCCATGGATCGGGGGAGGGGCCCTCCCAAAAATGCGGCCGGTGCCGCCTCGTTCGGCGGCGGAAATCCGCGGTTTCCCATGGAAGCGGGACCCGTGGCTAATCCACGCCCCCTTGACCCATGTTTGCGATCGCCTGACGTTAGCGCAGCCCGTTCGCTACGTTCCAATCTATCCAGATGCGCCTACACTGGCGTTTGATACATTACGATCTGCGAGGGCACGGTGGGGGGCGGAGTGAGGTGGGGCGTGGCCCGCGGAGCCGTTTTTGGGCTGACCGGGGCTCGTGGCTCTCGCTCTCGCTCTCTTGCTCCCCCGCGGGCTCCTCCTCCTGCTGCTGCTGCTCCTCCCCCGTTGCCGTCTTCCTCGCCATCCCCATCCCCGTTCTTCGGCCTCCTCCTCGTCATCGCCGTCGTCGTCGTCCTCCTCCTCCTCCTCCTCCTCCTCCTCCTCCCTTTCCTCCTCCTCCTCCTCCTCCCTCTCCTCCTCCTCCCTTTCCTCCTCCTCCTCCTCCTCCTCCTCCTCCTCCTCCTCCTCCTCCTCCTCCTCCTCCTCCTCCCCATCCTGCTCCTGCTGCCGAGGCAGGAGAGGGCGGGGCGGAGCGCGGCGGGCACGGGCGAGATCGACCCCTGAGCGCCCGGCGGGGCTGGCATGGCGCGCGGGGGCCGGGCGCAGCACCGAACACGAGCCCAGGCCGAGGCTGCTCGGACGGGGGAGCGGGAGGTGTTCGGCGGTGCTGGGCTTCCGGGAGGGGGAGGCGACGACGCTCTCGCGACGATGGAGTGGTGCCATCACTGCCCAGCCCGAATAGCCGAATCGACTGCTGCGTGGCTGGCCGGCCGCAGTCGCGACGCGCGGGGGAGGGAGGGGGCGACGTGTGGGTGCATAGGGGGAAGAGCGGGAAGAGGTAGCAGAGGTCTGGGAGGAATGCACCTGTTCGAGCGCAGGGGCTCTCCACCTCGTGTGATCACGACAGCCGGGCCGACTGCCGTGCCCCGATCTCTGTGACCGGGGCCCGGGCGAGCTGGGAAGCAGATGCCGAGGTGCGGGCAGCGGAGGAGCAGGCGCGCTCCTGGTGCAGCGCATGCCGCAGCGAGGCCCGGGCGCGGACGGGCCCCGCTCACGACTTCCCCATCCTCGAGAAGGCGAGCGTCGCGACCGCCACAAGGAAGGCCTGGAAGACCATGTAGGAGAACATGCTCGTGAGGAAGCTGTTCGTGGCGGCGTCCTTCCAGGCGTCGATCCTGTCCTGGGGGTCCTCGACCCAGGAGAAGAACAGCGGGTGGTTGGCCCTGATCTTGTGCGTCGCCTCGGCCTGCTGGACGGCGAGCCTGTAGAACGGGCGCGCGGCCGAGGGGATGAGCCGCAGGGCGCCGTGGACCCGGGGGTTCTTCGCGCCGTCGCAGTGGAAGTCGTTCTTCTTCCCCGAGCAGCAGTCCGTGCCGACGGCCCAGAAGTCGTAGGTGGCCGGCTCGGCCGCGCCCTGGACGATGGGGGCGACGCAGTACGTCTCCTGGTTCTTGAAGCCCATGGACTTGTCCAGGTTCAGGTCCGCCACCGCGCTGCAACTCGGCTGGTGTGTGCTGTGTGTGTACGTGTGTGTATATGTGTGTATATGTGTGTATGTGTGTGTGTGTGTTGGGAGTGTGTGAGTGTGTGTGTGCGTGTGTGCGTGTGTGCGTGTGTGCGTGTGTGCGTGTACGTGCATGCATAGCCTGTAACGTCGCCTGGCATGCCTGTACCGACGACGGCACGCCGTGCCGCTCTTGGGATCCTGTGGGACGTGATCACGCACCTCGCACATCCTGTTGGCATGATAGACACCACTGTCTATGGCCGCAGCGCGACCGAAGCGGCATCTGTCGTAGTGTCACGCGTGTGTGAGTGTGTGTTTGTGCTCCACTGGCCTGCGTAGCCCCGTCGCCGTGCCAGAGGCCGGAGCGAATTGATGTGCACTGCAGCTCTTCTCGGGGGAGCGAGCTGGCACCCGCCCTGAGCTCTGTGCCGAGGCCTCCTCCGCTCCCTGCAAGAAGCGTCGGAAACAAGTAGGCGACACTCATGCCGAACATACGGTTTGAACTCCCCCCCCCTCCCCCCAAATGAGATGTTGGTTTCGGAGCCTCCGATTTTGCGTCTCCGAGTGGTCTTCAAAGAACGTGCCAAATTTGAATTGCGGGGGGGGAGTGCTGCTTAATTTCTTCCCTCAACCGTATGAGTTCGGAGTTCGACGCGATTTGCGCCATGGCTTGAAGACTGTGTTGTCTACTGTCTTCTGAGACTGGGAGCGCGCATCTGTTATGGTCTGTCCCATGGTGTCGTGTTCGCTGCCAGCAGTCTCGGGAGCTCGCACCTGCCTCAAGAGACGAGCTGGACATCCCATCGCTTGGACACACGTCGGGGCGCATGCGCGAATCGGGGAGCGGGCTGGACCGTGCGCTGAGGCGAACGCACCGGCTGGCAGATGTGCTCGGACGTCGGGTGGGCGTCGTGTGGAGCTCACACGGCGCATGGAACGACGAGGCCCAGTCGGCCAGGTGCCCCTCGCCTGGAGGCCAGCGGCACTGCGGCCACGGCCCCACAGCCCTTGCTCCGTTCGGCAGCCTCCGCCTGGCACCCACCCCGGGGTCATCGCGCCTGGCAGGGCAGCGGAGGAGTAGAAAGTGGCGTCGGAAGTCTGATGTTGATGCTGGCATCGGCTTTGGCTTGGAGTTCGAGTTTGTCCTTGGAGCGTTGGGGGGGAGCTGCGAGTTGGGGTTTCGGTTTGGTCAGGAATTGTGTCTGGACGTGCGCTTTGAGTTGAGCGTTTTTCGATTGAATTCCCGAGCGTGAAATCCCACCAGCCCTTTAGGGCGCAGGTGGTATAAAGCGCTTTCTCTTCCAACCACCTTCGTCCCTTCCGGGGAAGAGTTTACCCCTCTCCCTGCCCCTCCCCTTGGGTCTGGACGGGGGGGGCGCGGGTAGTTGCAGTGTCCAAGAGGGCCCCCAACGGCTCCAAGCGGGCCCTAATAGCCCCATATTGCCTCCAAGTTGATATATCCCAGACAGCTTAAAATTGCCCCCAAGAGGCGCCAAGACCGCTCCAAAACGGCGTCAAGTGGCCACGGCGCCTCCCAAGAAAGACCCTGTACGGCCAACATGCTTCCACAACCCACGGGAATCCAATGTGTTGTTACATCCTCGTCGATTCACTTCTGGTGGGCCCTTGCGGCCTCAGGGTGGCTACAGGATGGCCCAAGAGGGCCCTCAGAGCACCCCTAGAGAGCTCCAAGTGTTGGGGCTCAGGAGGAGCAGCGCTAGTAAAGGACCCTGCCTTGGCTCAAAGCCAAACTTGTTGAGTAATCATTTGGTTTCCAAAGATTTCGGCATCTCGGTGGCATCCTAGGGATGCCGTTGGACCAGTATGGCCTCCAAGATGGCTCCACATACCCCAATATGGCTCAAGGCCACAACTATGCCTTCAAGAGGCCCCAATGCACCCCCCAGACGGCCCCGAGTGCTCACGGAGAATCTCGAGGATGCCCACAAGAGGCCGACACCCGTCCAAAACCCAAAGACACCCACTGATGTTGGCATGTTCGCCGGTTCGCTTCAAGCTCCACTATCGCCCAAGACAAAAGGGCTTCAATCGACTGCCCCGAAAGCGCCCAATAACGTCCCAGGAGCGCCCCGAGAGGCGACTTTTGAGACTCAAAAGGGGCACCCCCTTCTTTGATCGACGTCATCCAGGATAGCCTCAAGAGGGCCCCCCAGGGCCCCAAAGAGAACCCCAAAGGCATCCAAACTTGCCCCAACAGAGCACCACGATGGTACTTACAGATAAGCTGTGAAAAGGCTCCTGCATTTAAATATCCACGAAAACATTCATGGTTGACTCCTGGGTCTCATCAAGCAGATTCCGACATCGGATTTGACGACCGCCCCCCCCTTTGTTCCGCTGCGTGTTCCCGCACCTCCCTGATCAATGCAACCTGTCTGGTGATTGTTGCTGGACGTGCTGATGGGGGTACGCGAGGCGTCAGTCAAGAATTTCAGTCCGAGTCGGAGGGATGGCAGGGAGGAGGAAGGAAGAAGGATTCGGTAGGGGTGGGAGAGAGGAGTCGGGAGGGAGAAGAGATGAGCCAGGAGGGAGGAGGGAGGGAGGAGGGAGGGAGGAGGGAGGGAGGGATGAAAGCCACAAAGCAACCCCACCCTCTTTTCCCTCCCATGCCCCCCACCAGAAACACGCAGAGTTGGTTACATGACATGCGCGGTAGCGCAACTGGATAAGAGCTCTCGGTAAACATTACACTACCTGCGTCCATGAGTTGGGCGCCACGCATGAGCGTGGGATTCACGTCAGAATAGCTGTTCAGATGAATGATCTGCTGGTACGGCAGTGTGTTGTTGACGTAGTTGAGGAAGCCTAGAGCGACACCAAGCATCCACGCCAGAGCCAGCGCCAGCGAAAGGACCAACAGCCAACTGGGCTCGCGCTCAGGAGAGTTGCTTCTCGTAGTCCTGTCGATAAGCGTGTAGACTGCGATGAAGACAACGGCGACGAGGCCAATCCCGACTGCGAGGTATACGACTCCAGGGTTGTTGTAGTGGATGGGAAAGCTTACCAGACCGAGCATCACGGTGAACAGCAGCCAGGGCGCCACGAGCGATATCCAGATGGCATAGCTGTTCAAACGTCTCCTTGTGCCCTGCTGGAAAGCCTCTTTCTCGGTGTGGGGGCCCGTGAACGGCTTCACGTACGGAGAGCTGTAGCCCATGGGCGTTCCTGCATCCGAGAAGGCGCCATACGCCGCGCCATTTCGAGCCTGCCCATACGCGCTGGGCGCCCCAAACTGACTCATGTGGCCGCGGCGACACTATGAAGTATGTGTCATGGATGTTCGAGCTGCTGCACAGCCTGGAGCCGAAAAGGAATGGTCGCCAGTGGCTGCTGCGCGCTGCAGATCTGGTGTTGGCGACAACTGCCGCCGGGGAACCTGTGGGGCGCGAGCTGTTCCCCTCCCCTACTCCCTCCTCGCATCCTCTGCCTCCCCTCATTCCTTCGCTCCTTCCTTCAGTACCACCACTCCCCCCTCCTCAACCGCAGAAACACACAGCCGTTGGGCCGTGGGGCGCCAGGGCATGCGTGGCGGGCGATCGGGCGGTCCTCGCACCCCAGAGGTGCCCTCCATGCGTAAGGTAGCCCCCCGGGGCGTGGGTAGCACATGCGATGTCGGGGCGCTGTGTGAGCCTCTTGCTGCTGTCCTCGGGGAGTGAGCGACATAATTGCGTATCTCGCCTGGCTTCCGCCAAGCTTCTGGCCAAGCTTCTGCCGCGGATTCCCCTAGATTTCGAACGGGCTCCTAGAAGTTCGATTCGAGGACTGCGTTGACCAAATCCATCCGACGAAAAACGATCAACCACAAATCAGTGCATGACATCACATAGTGCGAGGCTCAGGCTCATTCCGCCGCGCCCACAGCCTGGGCGCCCTTGGGCCAAGCGTCAGCGAAAGGAACAACCGCGCGGTGCGAACTAGCTGAAGGGTCAGAAACTCTTCCCCCTCTTCTTCGAAAGATTCCGCTGACTTCCGGCACATCAATGTGTGGGACGTCCCATATGTGCAACCGGATACGAACATGACACACAGAAGCAAAGGAGGAATCACACCATCTGTCGCGCAACACCCTTGGCTCTCACATCGGCATTGCATCAAGGCCGGCTAGTTG